TGTATTATTTGTGGACACTTATATATTTAATCTTTTTAATACTAAACTGACGTGCTTTCTGCTATCCAATGTGCTTAGGTGAGCGATGTGGCCCATGGACCTCTTGTTTATAGTTTATTGCAGTTTACGTGTATACTGCACTGACTTTTACTACTGTTGTAAGTTTCATTGGTATCTTTCTCACCTGCCATGAGAGAAGTACAGCTATTTTTATCGCTACCGAGTGTTTTATAATAGCTATGTAGAGCATATGTCCGTCTACACAGATGACAACTGATTACACTGAACAGTGACTAAGTGAACGGCTTATATAAGGGCTCTCAGATACAACGACTGAATAAATGAATACGGCGGACAAATCCCTTTTTACGAATCTTGTTCAGCTTTAAGTTTGATATCTCGACTAGAAATGTGTTGCAGTCATATCCCGATTAAGATCAAAGTCGATAACTGTCGCACGTAGTTATTACAAATGTTCAGATTTTTTCACTCTTCCTTTTTTGAAATTTCAACTAGAATTCACTTATAAATTTGTGTATTTTTTAACCCTTAAAAACTTTTACGGAAGATAATGAGGACTTCCACAATATGTATTGGTCCTTTTATATTTCTATTAATCGATTCCCTAAATCAAGTATGCAGACTAGGAGACGACCATTTAATTACGAACTTGGCTTGGTATTATCCTTGAAATGTTATAAATAATTGTCCTCCACCTTGAATTTAATGGATATTCTTACGACTAGAGGTACCAACACCTGGGTGGGGTCATTCAAAAATTTTCTTTTCAAGAACCGTTGTGGAAAGAGTATGACACTTTTGTGGAATTTTTCTGACTCATTGTGTGATTGAAGTTTGTTCAAATCATGGTCCCTGTGGGTATGTTTGGGCCACCAAAGAAGGTTAAAGTTTTACATGGGTAAAATGTAGTAATAAAATTTTATCATGGACAACAGGTCCATGATAAGTTATATTAAAATACAGTCTTGCTTAGTAGGCAAATAAAGTTTGTTTAAATCATGGCCTCCGGGGGATCGGAATATAAAGATAAAAATTTTACATTGGAATATCTATGAAAACGTTTCAAATCCTTTTTCTTATGAACAAAATGATCAGTGATGTTAAATTGTAAGTATCCCCAAGATAGTTCATATGATTATATATATATTCTTTTTTTGAAGAACAGCAGATCCATGGCTAGTGACATTGGCGTGCGTGCATTCACAGGTAGTGCAGATTTCGGTGTGTTCAAATCAAAGCATCTTTGAATAGGGTTGGACCAGAACAAAGGATCGAAGTTTTACATGAAAATAGATGTATTCAAGAACAATGTGTTTTCAAGAACACTGTGACAATGTTAGTCGTAATTTGAGTTTGGACAATACACTTTCTTCTGTTGATACGTATCACGATATCTGTGTTACGAAACGATACGCATCACATTTCTTTTAAATGGTCAAAATCAGTAGCACTTTACGTAGGTACACCAGAAAGACAGGGCGTAATTCAATACGATACAGAATTATTTTACATCAAGAAAAAAAAAAAAAAAAATTTACTGCCAAAATGTGGGAAAGGGGTATGGTCTTACTCTAAATTTTCAGCAATTATTTTATGCAATAAAAATGCATTCTCTCCACCCTACTGCAACAAACACTGTGGAAGGGGAACGACGTTGGTATGTTAAAGAATCTACAGCAAAAGACCTTTTCTGGAAATACGTTCTATTTCCATTTTTGAAGAGTTATACTTCTTAGTGCGCTCTTTTGTGAAAAAGTCGGAAAATGTACAAATCTCGCGGGATTTCTGGGACAAACGTCACATAAACATGTAAACGATATGTTGAATGTTGATCAATGAAAAAATTCTAACAAAATGCAGATGAAATATTTTATTATTGTGGACTCTATATACATTAAGAGTAGAAATGACAATGATATCAATTTATATTTATTGTTGATCAATGTATTTATTTATCGTATGGTACATTTAAGCATTGAATCATTATTTTTTGAAAGATATAGTCTCATAACTGCAACGATGTGTGCAAACAAATTGAATAACGCGCTAACGCGCGTTATGAAAATTTGTTTGCACACGCCGTTGCAGTTGCAACAGCTTCAGTTCAATGTGAGCGTGAATTTTGATTTTCGCTTATGACGTTGCAATTCCACGGCGTTCAACGTTTGTGACGTCAAAATAAAATGCATACCTTTACCTTTTGACCCCTTGTCCGTGTTATGGTGTTTTGAATGCCGTAGGTTTCCTCAGACTTTATAAGCAAAATATATGTTGAATGTAAATATTTAAATACAACCGTTACTACAAATGCCTCCGAAATGTCGTATTTTTTATTAATGGATGATTAATTTAAGGTTCTCGCTCTCTTACATATGTCTTTTAGGTCGTCTATTCTTTAATTGGAATGACAAATACATTTAAGGCCAAAATCTAGTAAATGAAAAGAGCCTACAGATTTCTCAAACTTGAGAAATAAATTCCTTTTATGATGCTTTATAACTATAGCTCAGTCAAATAAGGTGTATCGGGGCATAATTTGCAAGAAAACAAGACGAAAAACCATCTTGTAAACTGTCATTTTCAATGAAAAATTAAGAAAGCCAGTCCCGAATATGGGAGTTTTTTCCATATCAGATGAAGGAAATGTATTCAGATTGCCTACAGTCTCTCAGAAAACGGTAATTTGTGTGTTCTTAGCCTCTTCTTTAAAGTAATGTAAAATTGAATATAGGTATCGGGATTACTTTTCACATGATTTCAAATTGAATGCCATGAAAATACTTTATTTTCTACATAATTCTATTGGAGCTGTAAAGTACGGGAAAAGGAAAGTTTAAATTGATTATGACGTCATAATGGATCTAGCACCGAAAAAACGGTCTAAAGTCATTTACTAGATCTTGACCTTAACATTTAAAATTGGATTTAGGTTGGCAAGTTTTGTATTATCCGCAACGCCATGCTGTCCCAGTCAGACGACCAAACGGGCATCTAATTTTGAAGAGTTCACTAATGGAAATCAAACGTATTATTATATTATTAGGTTATGAATCATACAAGGCTTCGGACACCAATCATTTATCTATAACTTCTTGCATCGCGCAAAAACTGTTCAATATTTTTGTTTACTTTACTGGTAACTGTGAGAATATTAAACAAGAGCATGATCAATTGTACAATATTTTGTTTAGCACAAACTGTATTAAAATATGGGATAAGAACTATAAAAAAGATATTGGATCAGTAAAAAAAAACTTTCAAAATGCATATATGCACATTTTACCAAACAACCTTAATATTTTTCTTATAGTATTTTTGTCTTTTTTCTTGAAAAGTCATCTTAAATTATATGGGAATTGTTAGTTTTGAATGAATTTGTCCCAGTGTAATAGGAGGAAAACTGATTTTTTATTTTACTTTTTGGGACCATTACAGAGCTTTCAGATCAGTAAGATGATGAAAATTATCTGAATTATCTGAAGGACAACTAGAATTGAGAGATGTCCTTTTAATTCTTGAAATGATGTTTTGATCGTGCATGAAGTTATTGATTAGTAAATTCAATCATTAACAGTTCCTGAAATTTAAGGAAACCCTGAATTGAGAAGGAAATAGTTCTATATAATATATGTAGATATCATAAATTACAAGCATTTGATAATTCAAGGTAAGCAATAAGGTCGTCAATTTTGCAATTTTCAAACTTTTAGATTGATTTATAAAAACTGTGAATTATGAAAAATTGGAATATATTTTTTTAAGTACATGTACAAATTGTTTTAATTTGATATGTCCTTCACTTCTTTTATATTCCAGATCAAGTAAGTCTTAGAAGAATAATTTAATTGTCCGTGCAGCCTACAAAGTATGTATATATATAAAATTCTAAGATACGATATTCAAGATAAAAAGGTTAATATAAGGAACAGTGGTCCATCACAAAAAAAAAAATACAAACAAAACAGATCTCTGAACAGGGCATAACACACGGACCCCGGAAATTTCAGGGGTGGGATCACATGCATAGCAGGAGTAAGCTTTCAAGAACGAAACGGTTTTATACCCATATATTCTAAAAGGTGAAGATTATAGTTCAGAGAATCCAGCATGTTATATTCATATTCTGATAACCTGTACTGCGTATTCTAATTTTTAATTTGAGTAATAGAGTGAAATGCCATTGATTATCTGGATAGAACCTTCTCTTTCTATGACGTTTGGTCAGTTTGTAGAAAACAAATTGCTCTTGCTTCGATTTCCCTTTTGGTAGAGGAGCCAGTTTGAAATATATACTCTACTGAAACAAAAACCGACAGAGGTTCAGAATAGATATGATAATTCTTCTAAAGAGTTAATGATGATAAAACTATACTGAACTTTTTTCTTTCAATTTTTTCATGCTTGGACTTTCTGTTGCTGTCTGTTTCTTTGAACTTGTGTTGTAACAATTTCAATATAAAGATTTTCTACTGCCTGAAACTTCTTTTATAATTTTATTTTTTTTTTAATCTAGAGAACTATGGAGTTGTATGTCGCCAATATTCCCTTTCTTCTTATGGTTATTATACATGGACACGCAAAAGAAAACTTTTGTCCTCACAGTGTATGTTTTTGTTCGGACATTTATACAGCAGATTGTTCGAATAGAAATCTTAGAGCCATCCCAGCCGGGTTGCCAAGGAGTGTGAAAACTTTAGTATTGTCAGGAAATAAATTCCCGATTATTTCCAATTACTTATTCAACCCTATCCGTACTCTTAATATTACAAATTTGTTGATAGATAATTGTCAAATACAAAATATTTCAGAGGAATCTTTTGCAAGTTTACAAACCCTGGTTTCTATTGACTTGGCTTATAATGAATTACACATAGAAAGTCTTTATCTTGCCATACAACGTCTTGGAAATTCAAACGTACAGGTGCTAAATATTTCTGGCATTATTTTTTATACTCGATTGCTTCCTATCAGAGTAGAAAACATATTCCTTACAGCTTGGTTAAAGGGACTGCAGGAGGTTGTCATTCGATCCTGTGGCTTACGGTATTTAACTTTTGATTCGTTTAAAGAATTATCAAGTGTTAGAAAAATTGATTTTGGTAGCAATTTGATATCACGTTTTGTAGTGCCAGAACTTCAAATGAATACTTTAGAAGAGTTGAATTTTACAGATAATATTTTTGAAAAACTTCACAATTTCTGCTTGAATAAAACGGAATATAGAATACCAGCGTTTCCAAAGCTGCAAAAACTACATATGGCAGTAAATGATTTGATGGATACATCCGACTTTTTACAACAAAGGTTCTGTCTCCAACAAGTTAGATTTCTGAACATTTCAGACAATTTATTCCAAAAACTCACTCTCTTCGCGTTTTATGGAATGATTTATTTACAAACCTTAATCATAGATGATTTATGTGCAGTTGTTATGGACAATACATCTTTATCATCAACATCTCTCCAAACCCTTTCTATCGGACGTATCGTGGAGAGAAAGGACAAAGAATTCAGAAATATTTTCCTCAATTGCCCAAACATAAAGGTTTTACAAATAAGGAATACAGATTTTTCAACAACTGACGTAAGAAAAATGCTGGAACCTCTGAAAAGTTTGTCATCTTTGACAATTGTATATGGTGGGATTCAACAAATGACTTTCCTGAATGATTTTACAAACTTAACATACATAGACTACAGTTTTAATAGAATTAAAGAAATTTCAGGAAACTTTTTTCAAAATTTAACAAAATTGAATCAATTTATTCTTCAAAGCAATGGTTTGAATAACATCAATCAAACATTTTTGCCCGATTTCCTTTGGAAAAAGAAAAACTTCCTTCTTGATGTATCCTCCAATCCCTTTGATTGTGGATGTCAACTGGAATGGTTCAGAGTTTGGGTAGAAAACAACAAAGACAGGGTGATTGGATATCCAAATAAATATATTTGCGAATCCCCATTAGAATTAAAAGGAAGAAGCCTATCCGAATTTGATCCAGCTTCAATATGTCACAAAATAAACCCATATATTATACTAGCATCAATTTCCTGCGGACTTCTCTCAATTCTTATTTTCACTACATCTCTCTTAAGAAAATTTCGCTGGGATATTAGATATTACATTTACATTTGCAGAAATAGAAAACCTATGGGTTACAAAAGGTTTACCGATGACGAAGAATATTTATATGATGCTTTCATTGCGTATAACACGAACGATAGAAAATGGATAATGTCTGAACTGGTTCGAATGCTAGAAAGAAACCACAAATATAAACTCTGTCTGCACGAGAGAGATATCATTCCAGGCGGTGTTTATGTGGATGACATTCTAGAGAGCATTGACACAAGCAGGAAGTTAATTTTAGTGCTGTCAGATAACTTTATGGACGATCAATGGTGTAAGTATGAAACAGCTCTAGCAAGTCACACTTTGGCAGATGGTGATGGTCACAAGCTTTTTCTAATTTTGTTGGGGGACATTCGTTCTGAACACATCAACAGCTCCTTGAAAGTGCTCCTAAACTCTACCTCCCATGCGAGGTGGCCGGAAAAGAAAACTGACCAGAGAATATTCTGGCAAACTGTTAAGCAATTCATGGACAATAACTGAAATTCAGATATTCAAAAAAAATTGAATATTCTTTTCAGAGATTAAATTATAAGATCCTCTTTCGTTTTCTCGTTTCCAAACAGAGTTTTATGATAATGTGATTACTTATGTCTCATAATGTTTGAATATTTGCCTTGTTGTACTTTCAGTCCATGAATAACCATTCTCAGTGTTGGACAGAAAGACACGATAATAATCCTATTTTTGTGAAGTTTGACTTTTTTTAATCATTTTATTATTTCCAACATGTACGTTTTCTTATGTTATTTTTGTAAATTGTAGGAACATTTCCTTGTAACCAATTTCAATTAATTACGTTTTTATATAAAAAACAAAAATCGCATTTTTTTCTTAAAAAAAAAACCTTTGTTTTTTCTCGATACTCTTTGGTTGAGATGTCCGAAGGGTAAACAGGGAAGAAAACTCGGTTTCATTTTGAAGTATTACGCATACTATATTTATAGGTGGAAACCTTATAATATGAAATAAGGTAAAAGATTTTGTATTTAAATTAACATACTGTCGTGTTTTGAATTGACATAGTTATATCTGCGTACAAAATAATGTAAACTACAGAACATCTTGAGCTTAATTGTCAATTAAATATTTGCGTGGTTGAGAACTAAGTTAAGGGTACCCCAGACCTTTCTTCTAGATATTCCCCACCCTTCCTTTGGATTTCTTTATAAGATATGATGGTATTTTTTTTATTTTTGATACAGAAAGAGGGAAATCTTAACTATACCCAATATATGGGGATTATTTAATCATAAAATATAATATTATAAGGGACCAGGCAATATTTGTCATCAGGGTCGGAGCGTTGCAAAGTTTGATGGGACATGTACTTTTGGTACATTCATTAGGGTGAGACAAGCGTTTTTCTACAACAGTAATGGAGATTGGACATTCACATTTTTCTTCAATAAAACTGTGTAATACAAATATTCAGTTGACCGTTAGTATCTCGAATACCATGGATTGGTCAAAGTTATTTGGAAGTCCCAAGCACTTTTGCTTTAAGTATTTTAAATACTCTCAATATGTCGAATTTCAGAATATCTGTAAGTTTTTTCGGTCCCATCTAGTTCGAAATAACTGAATCACTTAAAATAAATTGGCAAAGAAAGAAATAATAAATATACTTTACTTTGAAACCTAATATTCATTTTTGAATATTTATCCGACTCTATTTATATTGGAGAGAGAGAGAGAGAATACTTCATAGTAATATTTGAATAGTAACTTATAACTCTGAAATAACCTCTTGAATCACATGTTCCTCTCTTATTTTTTTTTAAATTATGATCTTTACAAATGTGAAATGATTTCTTTACTTGAGTTTACTTGAGTGCAAAATTGTCTTCTGTCTCCTTTAACATTTAACATTTCCATACTGTCTGGAAATTGATACATCATTTTAGATTTTGAAAACGCATGCAATTACAAGAAATGTATTACCAATCGATAAGTTATAACGTTTTTAAATAAATTATATTTTCAAGGTCTTATTTTGAAAGTGCTCAGATGTATCCCTCATCTTCCTGCATTTTTTAAAATCTGGCTCATATTCTTCATTTAAATAAACTTTTATACATTTTCGTACGACGACTTCTGGGGGACTGGTATCAACATATCAGCTACTCTAAAAACAAATCCTGAAGCTTGGCCCGGTAAAAACATGCTTGGCACTATAATCAAAGATATAGCAAAAAATTACCGTCGCAAACCAAGAAGCTGGTCTCTCCCAAGGCAACCTACTCGCAAAGCTGCTCGGGCGTCACAGAAGGAAATCACTGATTTCGTTAGCCAGCTTAAGGAAGGACCATCAAAGAGATCCCGAGAGAATATCAACGATGCAAGTGGTCATGACACAGACACTAGCGAGCAAGGTTAATATCCTTTACTGTTCTAACTGTTTGATTTTCTATTATGAACTTTTTTCTCCCACTGACGCAATTTTTGGTATGAACAAATCTTACAATTATGCTTAACCCTTTATTAAGTGTTTTCTCCTTAAATGCAAGGGGATTAAATACATACGAAAAAAGAATAGTTTTATACGATTGGCTTCAAGATTTAGATATAGATATTGTCTTATTACAAGAAACTCATTATATAGAATCAAGAGAGTATCAATATAATGCCAGATGGCTGGGCTCAAGTTTTCACTGCTTTTCGAGCTCAGCTTTCAGTAGGGGTGTTTCTATTTTGATTAGAAAAATTTTTTCTTATGAATTGATAAATTATCACAGATCTTCTGATTGAAGAAAAATTTTGATAAATCTTAAAATTAATGATATTACGTTTTCAATAGCAAATCTTTATGCACCAAATAATATATCTGATAGGAAGGCTTTTTACACCACAACAAAGTCTTGGCTAAGAAAAAATGCTAAAAGTATAGAAAACCTGATTGTATGTGGAGATCTAAATTGTAATATAGACAACTATAATCAGACTACTGATACAAGCAAAACACAATTAAACTCTTTAATCAAACAGTTAAATTTAATAGATGGTTGGAAAAAAATTCATGAAAATAAACCCGGTCTTACTTGGTGTAATGCAAACAATACTCCAAGTAGCAGAATAGACTATATTTTATTTGCAGAAAGGTTTTCATTATCTGTAGATTCTTTTTCTTTAAGAAAATGTCCCAGAGTAAATAACAATAGGATGAGTGATCATCTAGGGCTAAAAATAGATTTTATTCTCCAGAAAAACAAAAGAGGTTGTGGATATTGGAAAATGAATACTTCATATCTAATAAATGAGGACTTCTGTAAACAATTAAAGGACATTTTAAAAAATAAAGAACTAGAGCTTAGAGATGTAAAATGTCCACAAGAAAGATGGGAAATGGTTAAACTTATTATTAAAGAATACTCTATAACCTACTGTAAAACAAAAAGTAAGAGTACTAAACAAAGAGTAAAAGAAATTGAAAAAAGAATTACAAATATTGAAAATAGACCTTTTAATGAAATTATTAATCAAGAAAAATATAAGTTAGAAAAAGAATTACAACAGATCTATGATAAAAAATTAGAAGGAGCATACATTAGATCTAGAGCAAATTGGGTTAAGTGTGGAGAGAAATGCTCCTCTTACTTCTTAAAACTAGAAAATAAACATCAACAAAGTAATGTTATTGAAAAAATTAATCAAGATAACCAAACCTTTTTTAGTAGTAATGATATCTTGGGACAATTATGTAATTTCTATGAAAAATTGTATACATCACAAAACCCCAAAACTGAAGACATAAGTAATTATCTAAAAAGAACTGAATTAAAAACAAAACTTAACACAGAACAACAAAAAATATGCGAGGCATTACCTACCCTCAGAGAGTGTGAAGAGGCAATTAAAAGCATGGATAACAATAAATCACCAGGTCTAGATGGCATACCTATTGAATTCTACAAATTATTTTGGAATGATATAAAAAATTACTTTTATGATTCACTGTTAAAATCTTTTGAATATGGTGAACTACCATCATCTCAAAAATTAGCTGTTATTAGTCTGATACACAAAAAAGGTGATAAAAGTAATTTAAAAAATTACAGACCCATAAGCCTAACAAACTGTGATTATAAAATACTTGCATTTGTTTTGGCTAGAAGATTACAGAGTGTTATTTCAAAATTGATAAATAAAGATCAGTCAGCGTATATTAAAGGCCGATATATAGGGAATAATGCTCGTCTAATTCAAGATATATTTGACTATTGTGAAAATCAAAATGAGAATGGATTACTATTATTTTTAGATTTTGAAAAAGCTTTTGATACTGTTGAATGGGAATTTATGATACAAACATGAGAAGAATTCAATTTTGGTCCAAATTTTATTAAATGGATTTCAATTCTATACAATAATCCTACTTTTAGAGTAAAGAATAATGGTTTTATTTCAAAAACTTGTAGAATGACAAGAGGCATTAGACAAGGATGCCCCATCTCTGCATTGTTATTTATAATAGTTACTGAAATCTTATCAATCAGAATAAATAAATCCGAACAGGTAAAAGGGTTTCAAGTCAATAATCAATGTGAAATTAAGATGTTACAACATGCTGATGATTCAACGAACCCTCTAAAAGACTTAGTGTCTGTAAAACATGTGATAGATATTATTCATAGTTTCTCTATCTTTGCCAGTCCTAAACTTAACTTACATAAATCTGAATGTATACTCCTAGGACCTTTAAAAGACTCATGTAAAAATGTATATGGAATAAGAGCAACAAATGACCCAGTTAAAACACTTGGAATCTATATAGGACACAACAAATGCCTTTGTGAAGAAAAAAATTGGAATGAAAAAATAAATAAAATTGTTGATATCTTTAAAGCATGGGAAAAAAGAAAGTTGACTATTTTTGGTAAGAAAGAAATTGTAAATAGTCTTATCATATCAAAATTCCAGTATATAGCTAGTATTCTTCCTAACCCTCCCGAGGAATATTTCAAACAAATCAATAGAACGATTTATAATTTTATTTGGAATGCTAAAGATAGGATAAAAAGGAATACCCTTATAGGAAAAGAGGAGGATGGTGGTATTATTATCTTTGATGTTGAAACAAAGTTCCTCTCTGCAAAAGCCTCTTGGATTCCAAGAATTCTTAAATCCAAAAATAGTTTAGTGTCTTTTATACAAAACATTCTTAGTAAAGAAAAATTGACTCTTGACTACTTACTCAAAACAAATTTGCAAGATATTAAAGATTATCAAGAATTAAATTTCCTTCCTTTTTTCTACAAAGAAGCACTGTGTGCATTCAATAAATGCAAAAAACAAAAAGATATGAAAAAAACATCCACAGATGAGTTCCTTTCATTACCTATTTGGAAAAACACATTATTCATGTATAAAAACAAGCCAATATTTATATCAAACTGGATAAAATCAGGTGTGTTACATGTATACACAAAAGATCTTTTTGATAAAAATGGAAGATTACAAGATATTTCATACTTTTTAGAAAA